CGTGTTGGGCCCAAGCTGGGGTCGTGGCGAGTCGAGTCTTCCTCTTTTCCTCCTCGTCCTCCTTCTCGTTCGAGGGGTCGTCGAAAGCCATCCAGAAGCCATCCAGAAGCCTTCGGAGGGCTTCCAGAGTCTTTCCAGATGCTCGCGGAGGGCTCCGCAGGCCTCACTGGGACTTGTGGGCGTCAGGGGACCTCATGGGATCTTCCGGTGACCTTCGGGGATTTGGGAACCTCAGGGACCTCATTTTCCCTCCTCTCCCCTTTCTCCTCCTTCTCTTCCTCCTCTTCCTCCACCCTGTAGAGGGAGGAGGGAGGGGGAATTGGGGGGAGAGGAGGGGTAGATGGGAGGGGAAGGACGGAACGAAACAGGGAGAGACGGACAGAGGTAGGGAGAGAGTAAGACCGATATGCAGTAGAAGATTGAGATGGGCACGTAGGCGGAAAGGGTCGTGTGGGTTGGGTAGAGGATATGAGAGAGGGGAAGAGGGGTTGGGATTGGATCGGCGTCGGAGGACGGATATGGCTATGGCTGTGGTGCTCGGGTGAATCCATGTAGCCGCGACGTGGTGTTTGGCACACCAGCAAACAAATCGGCATCCGCAGGCCAGAGCTCCTTAGCTTTGGCCTCATGCTTAGCTCTCCTCCATTCATAGGCCCATTCGACCGCCGAAGCGGGCAACTCGAATCAGTGCATTCGAGCAACTCTCCAGAGGTCCAGCACAGGGACCTCCACACTGCTCCGGCGGAAGCCGGTGGGTCCCTGATCAGGCTTGGGCCCAGGATCCAGCCCGGGCCCGCCAGCGAGCCACACACCAGTTCCCGCCGCGGACGAGGGCACACGATGGGACCCCGTCGGCTTCCCGTGCAGCCACCTCGCTCTCGGCGGCCCGGTGGCCCGACCCAGGGCACGCCCCGTGAAAGGCCCCTGCTTGCCAGGGCTAGTCTCTGGCCCGCAGGCGCCCCGCAAGACTCGCAGAGCAACAGAGGCGGGAGTCCCTCGGCCCCATCTCCAACATCACACGGGACCGCCGAGTGCCCTCCAAGAAACCCGGACATACCAGGGCCCCCCCCCAACGCTCACCCCCACCCCCGCTCTTGCTGGGCTCCCGCTCGGGCTCGGCGGGGATGGGGGCACAACTCGCTTGCCTTCAGCCGAGCCGGTCTCGAGCATCCAAGGGAATTTCTAAGTCACCGCAGTTGGCATCAAGCTCGAGTACAACATCGGCCGTCCCGCGGATCTCCTCGGTGTTCCAAACTTCGTGGTCGCCAGCCCAGGCATGCACGTGACCTGCCTGTGGAATTAAGTTGCGACCTCCGTACTTCCACAGGCTTCGATGAGCAGGACTCGCTCAGGCCGCATGGTCACAGCAACACTTTCTTCTCCCAGCGGCCAGCAAGCTCGTTGTCTTGGCGACAACAGGTGCCCCGAAAGACTCCTCACTCGCAGCCGTGGCGTGGTCCTTGACTTGTTTCAAAGACGCACTCGCACCATGCTCGGACCACCACTCCCGCCAGACATGACGATTCGTATTCTGCAAGCTCAAAGCTGCGCGCACCCTGCGCGCACGAGGTGGACCCTGATCAGTTCGAGCAAATCGTGAGAGCTCCGCTTGCTGCAAGGTCCACAGAAAACCGTGCCAGCATGTGAAACGCAGAGTCTTCAGCATCATTCGACGACTGGCTGAGAGACCACGACAGCAGTTCCGCTCCACACAGTGCACATCTGAAGCTACCATCGTCGTTAGTGCACACAACCGCCCAGCCTGCTCTGCGCAGACCACCGCACTACGTGAAGTAGGAGGACCCGTCCACGACGGACATGAGGAGGGATGCTTGAGGATGGAAGTGGGAGGATCACAGGATTGATATAAGGGGTTGAGTGGGTAGTGGAGGAGGGAGAACGGAGGAGGGATAGGCGGAGGATGAGGATGAGGGGAGGATGAGGATGTGGAGGATGGGGAACAACAAATGATGTTGATGGTGATGATGCTGCTGATGATGATGATTATGATGATGATGCTGCTGCTGATGATGATGATGATGATGATGATGGTGGTGATAATGATGCTGCTGCTGATATGCTGATGATACTGCTGATGATGATGCTGAATAGGAATAACACCACTATCTATATCTAAGCCAGCGTGGACCTCGGGCAGTGTGTTTCTAGCAACGCGTGCTGTGCAATCCGTTTTGTGGCGGCCCCGCCACCAGAATCAAGAGGCTGATCGTTTGTGTAATGCAGTTTTAGATGCAGGCCGAGGTTTCTTATGCCTCCACCCTCGCATTGATGAGTTGTTAGCTGCGCCTCACAATTGTTTGGCCCACTCGGACGGGGGGTGGCGCGGGTGCGGGCGGAGCGCGGGCGGTTTCACTCTCCGGGTCTCCCAGGGGAGCGGCGACTGGGAGGTCGCGGCTTTCGGGGGGACGTGGGAACCCCAGGCAACATATTCATTTTCCGCCGAAGTGTCGGGGCTTCGGCTAGCACTTGCTGTGTTCGCCGCTCTGCAGGGGACAGGCGATCTCTCTCAGCTCGGAATCCCAATTTTCAGACGTAATGTGTGCTACAGGTATCTGCATTGAGTGAGGCTCCATCGGCAGGGACTGAAGAGATGTGCGGGGAGGCGGCCTTTGCGGTCAAGCCGAGTCCAAATAGAAAAATCAATCTGCGTGGTGAAATCAATGTTGTGCAGTCTGTGTTGTGCAGTCTATGTTGCGCACATGGCCAGTGGCGTCTACTATGAGGTGCAACACAAAAGCCACGATACCAATGCAAACACATGCGCAGGCACGCGCAGCAGGAGAGAGGAGAGGGGAGATGGAGTGCAACGCAAAGCAATCCCACGCACTGCGTGGCAATGTACAGCAATGCAGAGCAATGCAGACCAATGCATAGCACGGCGTGGCGATGCACATCGATGCAATGAGTGCACGACAATGCATGACACGGCGTAGCAATGCAAAGCAAAGCAATGCATTCCAAAGGACTGCAAGTTTTATGCAAGGCGAAGCAGCACAATGCACAGCAACGCCATGCACCTGCGATGCAACGCCGTGCAAAGCAGTGCACCGCAATGCACAACACGGCCCAGACGACGGGCGGCGACATGGCGGCGATGGGGTGGCGACGGCGGCTGCATAGCCGTCAGACCGACAGACAGGCCCAGACGACGCGCGGCGATGAGGCGGCGACGGGGCGGCGATGGCGGCAGCATGGCCGACAGACCTGCAGGCAGGCCCAGTGCCTTAGTGACAAGCAAGAGCCCCACCCCAAGTGGAATCACTTCTTGGGGAATCTATAGGTAATACTAAGACTGATGCTATGAAAAAGAGGAGCGTGGGGATCAGGACGTGGAGGGAACGAGGAGGCAGAGGAGGAAGAGGCGAAGAGGGAGGACGATAATGAGGAGGAGGAGAAGGAGGAGGGGGGTGCGGAGGGAGAACCATGGCAGAGTAACGCGTGAGCGGGAAGGTGGAGGAGCGGAGCGAGACAATGGAGAAGGATGCGCAAACTGAGCAGGAGGAGGTGGAGACCGAGGAGACGGAGGAACATTACTAGGACGATGGTGGTGCGGATTCTGATGTTGTTGATGATAGTGATGCTGCTGCCGATGATGCTGATGATGATGATGATGATGATGATGGTGATGATGCTGAATATGCCGACGACGACGATGGTGCTGATGCTGCTGCTAATGATAATGCTGATGCTGATGCTGATGCTGACGCTACTGCTGCTGACGATTACGATGACGATGGCGATGCTGATGACGACGATGATGATGATGATGATGATGATGATGATGATGATGGCGATGTTGATGATTCTGAGGATGGCGACGATGATGACGACGATGACGACGACGGCTAAGGATGATGATGACGATGATGATGTTGATGATGATGATGATGATGATGATGATGGGGAGCATGATGTTGAGGATGACGATGATGATGATGTTGATGATGATGCTGATTATGTTGATGACGATTTAGATGCAGATTGTGCTTCTGCTGCTGCTGCTGATGGTGATGATGATGATGGCGGTGATGACGGCGACGATGGTGATGACGATGCGAGTGCTGATGCTGTTTTTGATTATGATGGTGATGGAGATGAAAAGTACTATGAACATGATGATGTTGATTATGATGGTGGTGGTGGTGACTATGATCGCGGATGATTGATGCTGATGTTGGATGATGATGATGGATGGTGGCGGTGGTGGTGGTGGTGGTAGTGATGATGATGCTGCTGCTGATGATGGTGCTGAAGATGATGAGGATGATGATGAGGGTGATGATGATGACGATGATGATGATGATGATGATGATGATGATGGTGATGACGATGATGATGATGATGATGATGATGATGATGATGATGATGATGATGATGATGATAACGACGAGGAGTAGGATGAACTCAATAACAACGAAGAGGAAAAGGGATGGGGACGAGTTAGAGGAGGAGCAGGAGGAGGAGGAGTTTAATGATGATGATGATGATGATGATGATGATGAGGATGATGATGATGATGATGATGATGATGATGATGATGATGAGGATGAGGATGAGGATGAGGATGAGGATGAGGATGAGGATGGTGATGATGACGAGGATTATGATGATGAGGAGGAGGAGGTGGAGTCTCGCATGTCCAACTCTATCTTGCATGTCCTGTTTCTGTCTCGAGTCTCATCCGCTTAGTGAGAGTCCCAATTTTCTTGCGACCACGTGTGTGGCTGCGCCTTGTGCGCTGCAGCTGTAACAGTTCGCCTAGCCGTTCTGCTGCTGCTGCTGCTGCTGCTGCTGCTGCTGCTGCTGCTGCTGCTTGCTTTGTTCTTCATTCGTTGGGCTATCTCGTCTCTCTCTCTCTCTCCACACTGACACCTGCTGTCCGCCATCCGAACGACCGAGGAGGACGAGGAGGAGGATGATGAGGAGGAGGAGGAGGGGCAGTAGGAGAGGGGGGGAACGCCGCGCTGAACGTACCGCAGGATGCCACCCCGGTGTTCAGCCACGACGCACCGGTGTTCAACATGCCCGCGCGGCGTTCGGCCAGGCGGGGGAGGTTGTGTATTGCAAGGAGTGCCCTTGGCCCGAGGTGCCTCCAGGATTTCCAATGAGGACCCCACGGCCTCCGGAGCACCCCTCACGAAGCCCAGAGGGCCCCAGGGGCTCCAAGACTGGGCGAAAAGCTGGGGGCGCCTTGGGCCAGGGGCACCTTTAGTAACCCCCGAGGAAGGGGGGAGGTGGAGGAGGAGGTGGAGGAGGAGGAGAAGGAGGAGGATGAGGAGGAGGTGGAGGCGGAGTGGAGGGACCCTGAGGTTCTTGCGTAGCACTCTTTCCGCAAAAGGCGATTTTGGCTTGTTTCGGGCCCCGGGGCCCTCACGGATCGATCCATCCGGCTTGCGAAATGACGCAGAATGATAAGGTCTAAGGCTCCTTTGTGCGTTTTCTTGCGATTGTTCGTAATGTCAGATCTGAGGGGAGAAGGAGGTGGAGGAGTAAGAGGAGGAGCAAGACGAAGAGGGGTGGTTCTGGTGGTCGTCACTGCGTAATAGGGACGAATCTCGAGAAGGGCAAGACGCAACAAGACAACGACGCCGACGCCGACGCCGATGCCAATGCCATTGCCGACGCCGCCGCCGCCGATAACGACGACGATGACGACGTCGACGGAGACAAGGCAAAGTATCGATCCGCACCGAAGTACGGATAGTGAAACTGCCCACTCTGCGAGGTTCGGTGCGCGCACACTGTTGAGTGGTGCTACGGCCTCCGACGAGCCACGAGCACAGAATCATTACCATCGCTCCCTGCGCCTCTCTTTCAAGCGTCCATTCGCGCGCCGTTGCGCGCATTTGGCTCTGGCTGTTGTGAGGATAACTTGGGCGGGCGTTGCCGCTTCGGGCGCATTACATACTCTTATTTAATTTATTGGACACTCATCAGTACGTCGTACGACATCGTTAAGGAGCCATCCATGTACAATATCCATATGAAGGGATCCCTAAGATAGGAGAGGGGAGCAAGGAACATGCTCGATCGTCAGAGAATGTGAATTACCTGGCGAAAGACGGGGTTACCAACCGAACGTTGTATGGAAAAAGATCCTGGCTGCAGTGCGTCCTGCCGATCGCCACAGGAACTGTAAAACGACAAGTAGGAACACCTGTGGTGACAGTGATCAGCAAAACGAGTTTCTCAATTTCCTGGTCGTGAACACCCTAAGAAGAAGTATACCATGATGCGTACAGCATGTTATTCCCAGGAAGGGTGGACAGACCCACGACCTCGAGGTAACTTCCGATGGCGGAGGAAAATCTGTTGGATCCGCAGAGAAATGGTCGGACATATACACTAGCTCCCGCTCTATGCCTGGGGAGCCCAGCAAGAGTCGCACCCGACCAGAAAATGACATCGTGCGTGCGACGGGTGGGGCTTGTCGTCGGGAAATGGAACGGTTGCTCCACGGGGGGCGTATGTTGCGGCGTATGAAACAAACATCCCTACTAACCTCTTATGCGGAGATCGAAAACGCCGTTTCCGAAGCCATCGAGGTAAAATCCGATGGTCCTGAGGCTGAGGCGGCGGGTCACGGTGCTTTTGGCATCAGTCACGCCTACTCAATTGAAGGATCTCGGGGGAGCACGTATGAGCTTTTCGTGCCTTCTGACACGCCTGAGTCGTTGGAAACGGCACAGAGTCGACACGAGACTACTCCCGGTGCAGCCGAGAGTGTTTTGCTTGACTTTGGCCTCCAGAGCGAGGAACATTTTCCTAGTGCCCAAGTGGGGGAAGCCAGCTTTAGGTCAAGCTCTCTGCGTCCGAGGAGGGTGAGAGAAGAAGAACTCGAGTGTGTCGGGGCAAAGAGGCTCCGACCGGTCCCGCCGCAGACGCCAAAGTCGGAGGTCGTCCCTGTGAGCGATGAGGAGATCTCCCGCGGAGTTCCTCTTCCGGACGCGGGCCACGGCCGGGGCGTCCCCGCTTCTCTTCTGATTCCGGTCGGGCGTGGCCTCAGGCGGCGTCTGGCCGGCACTTTCTTCACCTTCGGCCATTTTCTCGGCCTTCGGCCGAGGGCGTCTACGGCATGGGCAACGTGTCGCCATCAACCACGACAGCGCGGGTCACGGCGGCACTGCAGCTGGTCCCGTGTCGCCTTCCTGCTATCGCGCCGTTCGTCAGGGAAGACCGGAGGAGGAGGCAGGCAGCTTTCGCTGTGCGAGGCCCAATCTACTTCTTATGAGGTTTCAAAGGTGGGACAAAGATCCCTCGCGTTCCTCGGCTCTGAGCTCTGAGAAAGAGCTGAGGTCGAGGAGTGACGCGTGTGCTTCAGTGCCTGAGAGAACCGGGAGGATGCCATCTGTCGCCAGGTCTGGCTCATCGCATGTCAGCCACGCGTCGGTCCGATAGAGATGCTGGAATCCGACGCACCTTTGTGCCGAGTTCGCCGAACATCGTTGTCCAGCGAAATAGGGTGACTGCAATCGGCCAGTGTGCAAGGATTGGTTTGGGACCTTCAAGCAGTGTGACATCAAGTGCCAATGTGGCGAGTGCACCGAGCAAACGGGACACAACTGTTTCGCCAGGAGACAAGCCGTATGGGAAGCTGCTCAGCAACCACACTTGCCTCGGTTCGGATGCAAGAGCGGTTCGAATGACAGACCCGCGAGTTGCAGTGCAATGGCAACGAACTGGTTGAGGACTGAGGCGAGGGCTGAGCTGAAGGCAGCCGAGGAATGAGGGAAAGCTGCAGCAGCACTAGAGATGGAAGCTCGCATGGGCGCTGATTGTCCCTTCAGGGGACGTCGAGAACAATGCTTTGGCCTAACGAATGAGGGAATCCGTGGAAGCTGCCCGGATGGTGGAGACGGCAATCGCTAGGAGTCGCGAGGCACAGATGGCTGAGGCGAGACAAACGCACGGGATGAAACTCAGGGCGGAGCATGTGGTCAGAGTTTAGCAATATGAGCTTCTTGCCATGAGCCTGGATCAAGAAGGCCAGGCAAAGAAATAATATTTGGCTTCCCTGAGGTCACATTTGTTCCACGCGGGAGCGCCAGCCTCGCGAGGCAAGCCTGCGACGGTTACGGTGGTGCAGCTGGCAGGCGCGATGGCCACGTCGACTGGCGGATGAGTGGCTGCCGGAGGTGCACGGGGCCAACCGATTGAATGTTAATTGTGCCGCCAGGCGCGGTCTGCTGACTGCGTTGTCTGTAGCAGAGCGCGCTGCAAGGGCCACTACGACGCAGGAGCAACTCGATGTGCCATGCGCGAATAGCGGGGCTAGGCAGGTCGACAGTCGACAGAAAACGGGGCTATGCACGGAGCTCGGGAAGAAGAAGAAGACGAATAACATAAACAGTTCCGTCGCAAGAAGGCGATGGAGGACAACTGTGTTGCATTAGACCCTCCCTCCAAGTTCCTTCTGCATCGGGCCCACGCAAGCTTTTTTTCCATTGCTGGAAATTTCCCATTGGAAGACAACCGTCTGATATTCCTCAGTCGTGCCAAAACGCTGCTCCTACGATTTCAGCGTCTCGAGTCAGCGTGACTGTTGTGTCTTGACAATCCTACATCTTGCCAGAACGCATTCCCTGGAACTCAACAACGCAAGTTGTTGGAACTGTTGCAAACTCAAAAAACGCAGGTGCGCGGCGCTTCAACGACAGCCGAATTTTGAAACATAACCTCCTTTCGTTTTCGAAACGGTTGATTTTTTTGGAGACGAATGTGCGGGGCGCTTCAGCAAGAGCCACATTTTGAAAACCACCGTCTCCATCCCTGAAGCTTTTGCAAAGTTTTGGGACGAACGTGCGCGGCGCTCAGGCGAGAATCCCATCTTGAAAACTACCCGCCCTCCATCCTTGAAATTGTTGCAGAGTTGTGAGACGAATGTGCGTGGCACTATAGCGAGAGCTACGTTTTGAAAACGGCCCGCCTTCCATCCGTGAAGCTGTTGTACATTTCAAGCTGCTAGGTCATGGTGAGGAGGTCGCAGGCGAAACGCCTGGCCCGCCCTACGGATACGTCCGGGGGCACCAGAGAGAGGAGTTATGTATGAAGAAAAGCGATAAAAGGAGTAGGTGTAGAAGCAGGAGGAGGAGGTGGAGGTGGAAGTGGAGGAGCCTGAGGAGGAGGAGGATGAGGAGGAGGAGGAGGAGGAGGAGGAGGAGGAGGAACAGGGAGATGATATTAACATCCGGGCCGTTTGAAAAGAAACAGCGTCTGCCCTGATTCGAGCGAGGGCGCCGTCACAGACATATCCTGCTCGAGACTTCTTGAACAAAAGGTGTGGTCGCGAGCTCTTTGGTCGTGACTTTTTCACGGCGTCCTGATCTTTTCGCGACGTCGATTGTCCAGGGTTATGAGTCTGCGCAAAGACAGTAGAACACATCCCCCCAGAAGTTAGAGATACCCAAGCTGCCACTTGCTGCTGACCTGCCCGCTTCCTCCCTTTCAGTTTCCCCGAGGGGGAGGGCGGAGGAGCAGGAGGAAACGGCGGAGGAGGAGGAGGAGGAGAACGCCACAGTCGTAGCACTCAGGTCTGGTCAACTCAAAAGGAGGAGGAGGAGGAGGAGGAGGAGGAGGAGGAGAGAGGAGGAGGAGGGAGGAGGACGAGGACGAGGACGAGGAGGAGGAACAGGAGGAGGAGGAGGAGAAGGAGAAGGAGGAGGAGGAGGAGGAGGAGGAGGAGGGGGAGGAGGAGGAGGAGGAAGAGGAGCAGGAGGAGAGGAGGAGGAGGAGGAGGAGAGGAGGAGGAGGAGGAGGAGCAGGAGGGGAGGAGGAAGAGGGGGAAGACGGGACAGGGCAAGCGAGCGGCGAAGCAGGGCAGAACGAGAGAGAGAGAGAGAGAGAGGGAGAGAGAGAGAGCGAGAGAGCGAGAGAGCGCGAGGGATGGAGGGAGTGGTTCCCCCGCCTCCTCGACGCCTCCTTGGGCCGAGCCTGGCCGTCTGCCTCTTCTGCCCCCCGCCCCTCGAGAGGGCCGGGGGGTGGGGGGGTGGGGCCCACCCGTGGGGGGCCAGGCAGCTGAGCGTCCCGTGCATCCAGGAGGCGGCGCGCGCCGATGCCGACGCGGCCCCCGCGCTGGACCTGAGGCTGTTCAACGGCTTGAAGGGCCAGAACAGAGAGAGCGTCCCGAGCATCCAGGATCTCTGTGCGGGCCGCCCCCTTGTGCACCGTGCCGCGCTGCCGTTCCGTCGGGCGTGTCCTCCTACAGGCGGATCCTGGACGAGAGACAGAATATACCAACAACGTGCCCCCGGCAAACAGTCAAGAGCAGTAGAAGAACGACAGATCGTCCCCAGGCTTTTTTGTGACTAGTTTTGAGCATGCCTCCTGTAGAGGGACACGCCCGACTTCACGCTGGTGCTCCCCGAGGACGTCGCGTCGGTCCGCGGCCCCGGGGCACGGCACGGCGCGTAGCGCCGCGCGGCCCTCCGGGCCGAGAAAAGCTGTGTGCGCCGTGCCGCGTGGGAGCGGGGCCCACAGGGGAGTCCAGGGCTCATTGCGATTCCTCCGGTTCGATTCGATTCGACTTCGATGGATTCCGATTCCGATTCAATTCGGTTTCGGAGTCCGATTTGGATTCCGATTCCGATTTTCGATTCGGCTTCGGATTCTGATCTGGGTGCCGATTCCTCCAACGGAGGCCTACCAGCCTGCCGACTTCTGCCGATGCGACTTCTCCCGCCGTGGCTGCCGATTTACGCCGGTTAGATTCATGTCGATCGCCGATCCCGGCTTGTCGATTCGATTCTGGGCTCTCCTGGGAGTCTGAGCATGGTGCGGTGCATTGGCGCCGTGCTCGTAAAGCGGCCAAGCGATCAAGACATGTCTTGGAGGGTCGCAGCACCCCAGCTAGGAAGTGGACGCCCCAGAAGACATCCCTGGTCCGTCGTCGTCGTCGTCGTCGCCGCCGAGGCCGCCAGGCGGCAGCCGACGACCCAGAGTGCCCTGGGAGTGGGTTCCGCGCCGGCCGGACGAGCTGTCGCAGCAGGGAGGAGGAGGAGGCGGAGGAGGAGGAGGAAAAGAGCGGAGGAGGAGGAGGACGAGGAATAGGAGGAGGACGAGGACGAGGAAGAGGAGGAGTAGGAGGAGGAGGAGGAGGAGGAGGAGGAGGAGGAGGAGGAGGAGGAGGATGAGGAGGAGGACGAGGACGAGGACGAGGAGGAGCAGCAGGAGAGGAGGAGGAGGAGGAGGAGGAGAGAGGAGGAGGAGGAGGACGAGCCCCTCCTCCTTCTCCTCCTCCTCGTCCTCTTCCTCCGCCTGCAGGAGGTGGCCACGCCGATGGCCTCGGTGCCCGTGCCCGCGAAGTTCGTGGTCCAGTCGCTGCGATCGTCGGCCGACTCCCGGCCCGACTCCGAGTCGTCCAGGGGCGCGCTGTCGAAGGCCGCCGGCAAGGGCGCCTCCTCCTCCTCCTGCTCCTCCATCCCTCCTCCTCCTCCTCCTCCTCCTCCTCCTCTTCCTCCTCCTCCCCCTCTCCTCCTCCTCCTCCTCCTCGTCCTCCTCCTCCTCCTCCTCCTCCTCCTCCCCCTCCTCCTCCCCCTCCTCCTCCTCCTCCTCCTCCTCCTCCTCCTCCTCCTCCTCCTCCTCCTCCTCCTCCTCCCAGTGAGGAGAGAGGCATCGCGCAGCGCGGCAGGGGCCCCAGTCGTTCTCGCGCAGTGGCAGACATCAGGGCGGGAGGCTGGTCGCCGCTTTCGGCCTCTGGGGGGAGGCCCTCACCGGGCCCCAGGGCCGTCGAAAAGCTCGGGACTCAAGAGGCGGGGGTCAAGGCAAACGGGGGGCAGTCAGAGCGCAGAATCTTACAGGATCCTGAAGGGCCAGGGGCGCACTGACTCTGGCTTGGGTGCAGGATCCTGCAGGATCTTGCAGTATCCTGCAAGGCCTGACTGACCTGGGTCTGGATTGACCCGGGTCAGAAGATCCCCGAAAAACGACTCAGGATGAACACCTGGTCCCAGGTAGAAGGGCCATGATTTCGGGCACAGCGTATGGGCAAAATGAAGACGTCGCATGACTGGGCCTGCGGCGCGGCAGGGTTTTGGAGCCTGCTTGGAGCCTGAGGTGGCCCAGCATTGGTTCAGGCCAGCAGAACGGGGGGAGAAAGGGCCCCCCTCGTCGCAACGGCTGGACGCGGCTCAAAAACCTGGTCAGTTTCGACCCTGGGAGGTGGTTGAGGATCGATTCTGGGCGGATTTGCCCTCATCCCCCCCTCTTAACATATTTTCTTGGGGCTTGTCCAACTCGAACCCCCCGGCCGCCTCCGAGCAGGGTCACAGGGCTCCGCGGTAAGGATGCAAAGGGCCCTGGGCGCCCGAGCCGAAGCCCTTTAGTGAGCGAGGGCGGTCGGCGATAGTGGCCAAGGATGTCTTTCCCAATCGCAGATCCACCGGACTTCTGCGCGCGCGCACTCGCTGAACTCATTGGAAAGCTTATGATTTTTGGCTGTCCTGTCGAATGAGACCATGCGGGCCATTCGCGGGCGCATATGTGAAACCACAATCAAGAATTATCGTTCACCGCTTACTTTTGTCAAGTGATAACGTGCGCGTGCCACGAGCGCGTCTCTGCGCGCGCCTGTCGAACCTAGTCCAGCACCAGTGGTTTGTAAGCATTTCAACACAGATGTGTTCAACCACATAATTATGAAAGCCCAATGCCTTTTCAATGACACTGTTGCCAGGGTTTCAACTTTTTTTGTGCGCTTGAATTCATTGATCCTCATCATTATCCTCCTCATCATCCTCATCATCCTCATCATCCTCATCATCACCATCATCATCATCGTCGTCATGATCATCACGATCACCACTAATAGCAGTATCTTCATCGCCAGCGTCAGCATTGCCACCGTCAACACCATCATCTTCATAACCATAACCATAGTCGTCTTCATCACCCCATCCGTCGTCAACACCAACATGATCAGCAGTGTTATCGTCGCCCTCAGCACCATCATTCTGATCATCGCCAACGTCATCATTGTGATCACCATCAGCATTGTTGTCGACATCATCCCCACTGTCGTCATGAATATCATCATCATCATCATCATCATCATCATCATCATCATCATCATCATCATCATCATCATCATCATCATCATAATCATCATAATCATCATCATCGTCGTTGTTGCCGTGGCCCTCGTCGTCAGCGCCAGCATCATTACCATCATCAGCACTCGCTCGTGCTCTGCATGATAAGGGTCCTTGCGTCATTATGCCAGTTGAGTTTTGCTAGCAAGTTGCAGTTGGGTGGGTGGGTGGATGGGACGTTTGCAGCAGCAATGAAAGTGGTTAAGCGCGGATGACAGCCAGGCGAAGGGAGCCACACATATTGCTCCGTTACTCGTCCGATTCATGAAGTGTAGAATCTCCTCCCCGCACCCAGGCCAGGGTTAACTGCCGTCTTCTGCGTATGTTTGGACATGCATGTATCTATGTATGTATGTCTGTATGTCTGTATGTCTGCAGGTTTTTACGTCTGTATGTCTGTATGTATTTTTACCTAACAGCGAAGACTGATAGGTTTCTAGTGGTGTCAAAAGAGAGCATCTGATGACTCAGAAGGGAGGTCTGGGCGGCATCCGGACAGCGAGGGCCAGGCTCAGGGCCGGGCTCGTTTTAAGCAAACAGTCGCACGTTTCGTGCTGTTCGACCTCCCAGAACTCCATTCCCGGGCCACATTTTGAATGCCCGGAGCCAACTGTAGGCCACTTCGTGCTCTTCGACTTCCCAGAACTCCATTCCCGGGCCACATTTTGGATGCCCGGAGCCAACTGTAGGCCACTTCGTGCTCTTCGACTTCCCAGAACTCCATTCCCGGGCCACATTTTGGATGCCCGGGGCCAACTGTAGGCCACTTCGTGCTCTTCGATTTCCCAGAACTCCATTCCCGGGCCACATTTTGAATGCCTGGAGCCAACTGTAGGCCACTTCGTGCTCTTCGACTTCCCAGAACTCCACTCCCGGGCCACATTTTGAATGCCCGGAGCCAACTGTACGCCACTTCGTGCTCTTCCACTTCCCAGACTTCCAAGACTCATCATCTTCATCATCATCATCATCGTCCCCGTAGCCTTCTTGGCTACAGCCACAGGGCGCCTCCTCGGTACTTGCCAGCCGCCGGATTGGCGCGATCTCCTGCAATACAAGCGGGAGAGGTGAAGTATCCGAGCCCGCGTGTCCACGGTGCTTCTCGGCGTGCGTACTTGTACTCCTAGTTCCAGCAGTAGTAGGACTGCGCGGCCGCGGTGCTTCTCGGCCTCCGAGTTTCCGCGGTGCTTCTCAGCCTGCAAGTTTTGCCGACTGTCCGCTTCACACGCCGCTCCTCAGTGCGCTCCTCTCCCGTTTGCGAGATGTCTTCCAAGATTTGGTTGAAGGCCGAGAAAGACGGACAGAACAAATCCAAGTAGCGCGGTCATCATCCCCTCCTCCTCCTCAATCATCACATCATCATCATCAATGGCTTCGCCGAGCACCCCGGTGGAGACTCAGGTCTTACGGGTCCGTGCCCATACTACTACTACTACTACTACTACTACTACTACTACTACTACCACTACTACTACTACTACTACTACTACTACTACTACTACTACTACTACTACTACTACTACTACTACTACTATTACTCTACTACTACTACGACTACTACTACTACTACGACTACTACTACTACTACTACTACTACTACTACTACTACTACTACTACTACTACTACTACTACTACTACTACTACTACTACTACTACTACTACTACTACTACTACTACTACTACTACTACATACTACCAACTACCTACTACCTACTACCTACTACTCCTACACTACTACTACTACTACTTACGGCATGGGCGGCCATCATTCATGGGAGTTCCTGTTTTGGAACTACATAGCTACATTCATCGATGCAAGTGTGGCGGTTTGAGGCTCAAAAACGTGATAGCAGTGTTTTGTTTAGACCTCAATATTTATCCAAAGATTCTCATGTGGAGATTACCGTTACGAAATCAGTGTTCTACTGACTTACTACCATTTGCTCCCATCACCCATACCGTTTCATTCCCATACATTTACAACTACTTACTCACTGTTACCACTACATCATCACTAATACTTCTAATTGCTATGCTTTACTATTACTTCCCTATTTACTGCTGCTGCTGCTGTTGCTGCTGCTAGTGTAGCTATTGCTACTGCAACTACTGGCAGTGCCACTGCGACTGCCGCTGATGTTGCCACTGCGACTGCCATTGCGAATCCGAATGCGACTGCGAGAACGCCATAATTCTACATCAGCACTCTTACATGAATGCCACAGGAAATGTTTCCAGCTATGCTTCTACACATCGCTGTTCGGTTGCTTTGCCGGGATAATTTTCTACCTAACAGCGAAGACTGATAGGTTTCTAGTGGTGTCAAAAGAGAGCATCTGATGACTCAGAAGGGAGGTCTGGGCGGCATCCGGACAGCGAGGGCCGGGCTCAGGGCCGGGCTCGTTTTCAGCAAACAGTCACACACTTCGTGCTCTTCGACTTTCCCAGAACTCCATTCCCGGGCACCATTTTGAATGCCGAAGCCAACTGTAGGCAATTCTGCTTTGGACTTTCCAAAACCATCCATTCCCGGCTTACATGTTGGATGCCCGGAGCCAACGTAGCCACTTCGTGCTTCTTTCGACTTCCCAGAACTCCATTCCCGGGCCCCATTTTGGATGCCCGGAGCCAAATGTAGGTCACTTCGTGGCTTCTTGACTTCAGATCTCCATTCCCGGCGAACATTTTTGATGCCCGGTTTTTTTCAGGGGGCCCTGAGCCAACTGTAGGCCACTTCGTGCTCTTCGACCTCCCAGAACTCCATTCCCGGGCCACATTCTGAATGCCCGGAGCCAACTGTAAGCCACTTCGTGCTCTTCGATTTTCGAGAATTCAACTCCCGGGCTACATTTTGAATGCCCGGAGCCAACTGTAGGCCACTTCGTGTTCTTCGGGCAACATTTTGCTTATTGGATGTCCCCGTCATATCTCTCGCCACCCGATTGCCGGTTTGTTGTGTTTGTCATCGTGCAGGGCAAGACGGCGGACCCAGGCGTCATCGTGCATTGGACGTTTCCGCCAGAATCTAATACTTGTAGTAGCAGTAGTAGGAGGAGCAGGAGGAACAGGAGGAACAGGAGGAGCAGGACGAAGGAGGCTCCTTACCCTTTCCTCCCTCCCCCTTCTCCCTTCATTTCTGTACTGGGTACCCGACCCTTTTTGACGTCCTCCGCAGGCCTGGGTGGTCCACTCAGGCCGCGGGGGAGGATAGGGGGAGGTGGGGTCTTTTTCTTTCCCTAAACAGCTTGATCCTCGTCGCCAGCACTGAGGAGGGGGGGGTGCACCGTTCCCTCGGATGGGCCC